TCTTCCTCGTCCGGGCCACTCAAGCACAAGATCTCCGTCAGGTCGACCAAGCCACCCACCCCAAGACAGATGACAACACCCCCGCTACCGCCATTCGTCGTCCGCATGGGCTTGACCAGCTCCTCGCCGGCGCGCGAGAGATCGCCATAGCCGGCCACGGGTTGGATCTTGTGGGGGATGTAGTCGCGCTTCAGTAGGGCGGTCAGAATTCGACAGGCACAGAGCGCATCGGGTTCGAGGGCGACGAGGATCAGCACCGGAGGGGACAATGGGTGATGTGAGCGGAGTAATTGGAGGTATAAATGGGAGATGAGTTGACGAGGGAGATACATGGCGCCCGGTGAAAACTAGGCAAGGCGCGAAAAGACACACCCCCGCCGCACTACTTCTCTCCTCGACTCGAACGTCGAAGATAAGGGTCCGTTGGGCCGGTCTTTTGTTGTAGGTCGTGGGTAAGTTCTTATAGAGGATCACCTCCACACACGCGCGCGCGTGTGTATGCGCGGGTTAACGATAGTATTCCGGGGGAAGTTGTCAACAGGCAGATAAAGCAGACAGCGAAGTGCAAGGAGCAGCAGCAGTAGCAGCAGCAGCAACAACAGCGACAGAGAGGGCCCCCTTCGAAGGCCCCAACTCCGTGGGGGGGGTTTATAGAAAGATGGTGGGATAACGATGGGAGGGAGAGAAGTGGGAGCAATCTTTTGCAAGTAAAGGTAAGAACAATTTCTAGACGGTCAAAGACTCCATTGTCTAAGAGGGGTAAGATGTTTATTGGAGACGACAATCGAGATCGAGTCAAGAGAGGGCAAAGTAGGGCAGTTGAGGGCAGTTGAGCGGCTAAAGTAAGTTAACAGAAGTAACGAAGTAATAATCGGTTTTCCCGTCGCGCATCTCCAGGGCCCAAAGACGCGTCTGGCACGTGCGGAGGTCGAGTGGCCGCCAAGCCTGCTTTTTCTCTTTTAGGATTCATTGCTTTACTCCCATTTCAATTGGTTTCCACTGAAGAATTTCAAGGTTCTCCTTTCCCCTTCCCTTTTTCGATCTTTTTTTTTTTTCCTTTTTCCTTTTTCTTTTACTCTTGTTGCTGGAGACCTTCGGCATACTTTCAGTTGCTGGTGTTGCGAAGGAAGGGCTGACAATGTATCCAACTCATTCTCACACACTTCCTCCCGTCTCTCGTGTTCCGCGCTTGTATCTGTTTGTCACGGAGGCGTTCGTTCCTGCTTATGGATTTTGCACCACATGCAGATGAACATTGATTTCCTCCAGAAATAAACCAAGGATCTAAATGCCTTCTATGAGTTCGTCCTAAGGGCGATGATATCATACCCGGTTGCAGACCTCCTATCCTGTGGTTCCAGGTTGATTTGCGTTTGCGATTGTTGCATGAATATGGTCAGAAGAGCGATTGCCGCCGGTTCCTCTGCGCCACTACGCCCAGTAATCATAATCATCTTGATTAGCAAGACCTATAACAAGCAATAATTTCATGACTTGAATAAAAAAGTGATTAATAGTGAACGAGCTTAGGTATAGTGAACATGAACACAGATCGAATATACGAAAAACTCCACACGCTATACACGCTATACAACATCCCAAATTAAGCAGAGCTCGCGCCTAGAAGCGAGCCGCCGAGCCAGACGGCAGCACATGCACCAAGCACAGTCAATCCAATGAACCGCTTCTCCCAGGTGGACTCCTCGGTCATCCTCGCGGGTCCAACCTTCATCTTGACCGTGTGATGCGGGGATACCTGATAATGCATATCTGACTCCGGACGTGGAACGGCTGCCCCATCCTGCAGCAGTGAATCATTGTGCCCGGCAAACATGTCTCGATCGTGTGTGCGCCATTTCTCGACCAGCCGGGCGATTTCGATGAGGTCCTCCTTGAGGGAGCCCGGCTCAGTGGCATTGACATTCTCAACCTCGACATTCTGGACATTTCCGAAGAAGTCCACCACCGTCCGCAGGCGACCCTCTTGCTCGCCGCCAGGGAAGAGATCCCACCGCACACCCGGCTGGGAATGGATCTTGGACTCATCGTAAGAATCGAAGAGGTCTCCCAGAGTCTGTTTCGAGTTCGCACTCGTGACCTGCGTTTCGAGGAACTCCAGCACATAGTATGTCCACCGATCAATCACCGCGACACCCACATCACTGTCTGCATGGTGGGAGTACGAGGACTGGTCGAGCGCACTCGATCCGGTAGCGATGATGTTGGGCGAGTAGAAATGCGTATACATGGTGTTGGCCTGGCAAGTATCGATCATGAACAGAAGCTCATGGTAGCGCTTCTTCTCCCACATTTGACCAAAGGCATCCGCCAGATCCCATGCCCCGATCTCCTCTGAGTCCTGGAACTTCAGGAACTGGTCCCCCCCGTGGCCGGTCATGTATACCAGAACGTTGCTTCCTGCGTCGGAACCCAGCCGCTTGCTGCGGGGCACATCTTCGTCGAGACGGTCAGTCAGGAGGCGAATGAAATTCTCCACGGTGACTTCGTAACCGCGATAGTCGACTTCGATGTTGTCGCCATAAAGATCGACTGCGCGGTCGGCGTTACTGTAAACGGTTCCGGGAAAAGCGTTGCGGGGGTTGCAGGCCATATCGTCGGGGAGCATTAGGATAATTTGCGAGTCGGGAATCCCCAACCGCTTAACAGTGCGATAGAGAGAGAGGACATTGGCGAGGTGGCGGTAGTTGAACCAGAAGCGTGAGGTAGAGACGAGAACGGCCCAGTTCGATGTGTGCTCAGAGGTCACGGAGATTGTGAATAGAAGAAGAACGAAGGGAAGGGCCCGAACGAACCCAGAATACATGGTCAACATGGCAAGCGATGGGAGGAGTTTAGAGCATGATCAAAGTGGATGATTATCAACCGAGATGTGATGATGGCCAGGCACAAGCACAGATTCGGGGGCGGCGGCGGCGGCGGCGGAGGAAGAGCGGCAATCCTCAGGCACCGAAGCGGATACGGTGGAGTCAGCGCGCTAACTACATTGGACTTAGAATCAGATCGATACTTAATCAGTTATCGTCCACATGCGCACCGGCCATAGGCCCATTAGCCCTCATGATGTCCAGTGAGAATTTAGGCAATGAGGCAATGAGGCAGTGCACAGCTCTGTGGTGAGCGGACTGCTATTCACTCATTGTGTCAGATCCGTATTTGAGATAAGATGGTCAATGGTGTCAAATATACTACTGTATATCCATGTGAACAATTACCTGACATGTACCCTCCACCACTATCCGAGGAGCAACGCCTCTGGCTGGCTTTCAGCGTTCAAGATTGGCAAGTTAGCCATGGCTCCATGCTCAAGCGCGTTCGCAGTCAATCTGCGCATAGTGTCCTCTGCTGTCCCATCGGAGTGACGCTGTTTCCAACGCCATTCCCTCGAGCGCATTTCGATCAAGCACTAGAACTGCAGAGCATCTATAACGAGCTGTACTGTGCTATGACCGAAGATGAGCATTGGATTCAGACAACCCTACAACAGATCCTTCATGTCAACTCGCTTGCTGCGGCTTTGTGGGAGATACACCAAAAGGTCAAGCGTGTAGATGGGTACATCCAAAACATTTCATGTGGAATATTCCGTTCAGACTACATGCTTCAAGGCGACGGAACCCCAAAGCTGGCTATCGACCCAGCCGACGGCCCTATCTCCACCCCGCAGCTGAAGCAAGTCGAGTTCAATACCTTCTCCTGCGCCGGGGCATCCCACGCACAAAGGACCGTGGAGATGCACCGCCATTTCACCCGTACAGGCGCATACGCTTCCCTCACAAACGGGGATTCACCTGTTGGTCTTGCTGCCTTGCCCGAAAACAACAATATTCAATCACTAGGTGCCTGCCTCGCAGAAGCGCACGCCCTTTATGGGCAAGCAAAGAGCAAGGTAGCTGCCAAAACAGCCGTCCTCTTTGTTGTCCAGCCCCAGAACTTCAACATTGCTGACGAACGGCCCGTCGAATATGCGCTGTGGAATCGAGACAGTCCCGTCCCCGCCCACCGTGTCGAATGGGGCGACGATCTCCTCGAATACACCTCCCTGTCCAAAACGAAAGAGCTGCTCTTTCACCCACCGTGGCTGCAGTCACAAACCCCAATCGAAATTTCCGTCGTCTACCTGCGCGCCGGCTACGAAGCCGACGAATACGACCATGCAGGCAAGAGAGCGCGGGTCCGATTGGAGACATCCCGAGCGATCAAATGCCCGTCATTACTGGCACAGATCCTTACGTTCAAGAAGGTCCAGCAAGCCCTCGCAGAGCCCGGGTCTGTGGAGAGGTTCCTGTCGCCGGAGAAGGCGGCCAAGATCAGGAAGACCTTCGTACCCATGTATCCGCTGGATGAGTCGCAAGCGGGTGTGCGGGCTCGAAGGTGGGCAGCTGATCCAGATGTCGCGGAGAACTTCGTGTTGAAACCGTCACTGGAGGGTGGAGGTCACAATGTTTACGGGGCGGATATACCTGATTTTCTGGCTTCGGTTACGCCGTCCACGTGGTGTGCATACATCTTGATGGAGCGCATCTGCTCGCCGGCAATGTATAATGTACTCATGTCGCCGCAGGGCATTGACTCGGGCCCGGTCGTATCGGAGCTCGGCGTGATCGGGACCTGTATCTGGAAGAAGAGGACGATGGAGGGCTCGGAATTTCTGAGTAACACAGTTGCAGGGTGGTCATTCAAGACCAAGCATACCGGCGTGGATGAGATGAGCGTGGTGAAGGGCTATGGGTGCTTTGACACTCCACTCCTATACTGATGTGCTCATGAACGAATGTCAATCCACACATAAAGTAAGTCACACAATTCATTCCATTCCGAACCCTGATATCATGACGAACATACAGACACGCTTAAAGTATGCTAGTGTACTGTTCCATACCGATGCGATCGGCATTACCTACGCCTGATTTATTCAGACCGCCGTTGGTGGCGTCGGCGGGATCCAAGCTCCAAGAACCATGCTCTAATCTAAGATATATGCATTGTATCAAAACTAAAGGTCTAACATAGTCAAGTAATCGTACAATTCGACGCTTATTTGCCGATCTCAACACCACCAGTGGCACCGAGGAGACGCTACAATACTCAATTAGCGATCTGCTTTGGAAGCAGTTGACGAACAGAGATCCACATACCTTGATGTCACCGTAGATGGCGAACTGACCAGCGGTGATGGTACCAACCTGGAGAGGAGATTAGCTTTCAAAGTCCAGATTCGTCGCCTTTTGAGGACTGATCTTACCATGAAGAGACGAGCACCGATACCGGCGTAAGAGCCACGGAGACCAAGCTCCTTACCGATCTTGATGAGACGAGAAATGGTACCCTCACCGGGCTCACCGGGGGTCTTGTTGATCTTGGAGAGCATAGTGTCGGCGGGCTGGGAGACGATGGCAGCAGCGAAACCAGCAATGAGACCAGAGCCAAGGTTGATACCAGTCTTAGCACCCTCGGAGATAGAGTTCTTGTCAACGACGCCGTAGACAGCCTCGACGGTCTTCTCGAAAACGACGAACTTGGCCATAGTGTAAGGAACCCTGCCGAAAGTTAGCAATGGCGCATAGACCTATATATGGGCGCGGACGGCCGGGAGGTCGCGGGAAGACGTACTGCTTGAAGAGCATAGGACCGAAACCAGAGTAGAAAGCACCGATACCCTCGTTCTTGAGGATCTTACCGAAACCGCTCATGAGACCGGAAGCGAAGGTAGGCTGGGAGACGAGACGAATACGGGTGGCCTCAAGAGGGCACAGGGCGATATCAGCGAAGAACTCAGCGGTGGCGGAAGAGGCAAGGTAGATGGCGGTGCGGTTGTTGGAGGCAGTCTCCAGACCGAGCTGGTTGATCCACTGCTGCTTGAAGAACTCGTAACCTCCAAACTTGAAAGCACCCTGGAGGAAGTAACCGGCAGCGGTAGGACCGAAACCAGTGAGGAGAGCGCCAGCACCCTCGTTGGCAATGACCTGCTTGAAGCCACCGATCATACCACGGTTGTAGGTGACGGGGTCAAGCTGGATTCTGGTCTTGACGCTGCAAGGCACGAGAAAGAGAGGACGTTAGCAACGGGCATGGTCGGATGGCAGGACGGGTTAAGTCGATCGAGCGCGCGCACAGGCGGAATGCCGAGCGCATTCGTCGATTGTGACGTGGGCGAGATGAGACGGTGTCCGACTTACACATCGACAGGAGTGAGAGCTCCGTGAGTGACGGAACAGCAGACAGCACCAGCGAAGGCGAATCTGGAGTAGAGGCCGAGGCCAGTAGGCGCGTCGGCCTTGGGAGTAGTGGCGGACATTATGTATGGAAGGGTATATGGGATGTTATAGAAAAACAAAACGAAAAGGAGGAGAGGAGTGTGGGGGGAAGGGGAAGGGGAAAGGAAAGAAGAGCGAAGCGATTGAAGCTTTGCAGAGATTGGAAAGGAAGAAAATGGAGGCGGCCGGCAACGGGGGAGGGAGGGAAAAGAGTCGACTAGGACTAGTTTGAAAGGGATGGCCGGAACCTCGCGCTGCTTTTGGCCCTAGTGGCTAGCGGAACCCGAAAACTTTTCGCTGCCAATGCACCGCGCCTTGGAACCGCTTTAACTCCGATCTCCCGGTCAACACATGGACATGACGGCAAAAATCATTAACTACGGAGGAATTGAGTAATGCTAACAATAGCATTGGTAGGATAAGAGAGCTGACTGAATCACTCCCGGTCTCCCAATTGCTCGTTTACTCAGGACAATGTGATTCTTGGGAATTCTCGACAAGGGGCAAGTGGCTTTTCTAACATTGATTCCGGTTGTTTGTTACTGGAAACTTGAAGATCTTGATAAGCCCTCCTCCAAGCCTGAGGCAATCACGTTCCCGTTCTCCCGGTAGGAACCCGCCATAACTTACTTGTTATGAGTGAATGGAGAGAGAGACATGGTTACCTAGGTAGTGATGGCCTTCCTCTCACTCTCGCCCCTCTATCCATGTTTCTCCTGGTCATTGTCCTTAAATTGACACGCATATCCATATCCCCATATCGCTACGAGGACGAGCGATATATGGCTGACATCATCGGATTCTCTTTCACCATAAAAAGAACCTAAATCCTTGGAACTCCGCCCAGCCCGGCGAGATCCCGGATTGGCGCATAATCCCCTTCGGTCAACGGGAAGCCGACCGAGATCTCCAGGCTGATTTCATCCATGATGCTAGATTTGGATCTTTGAACCCTGTCGCCCACAAGGTGTTCGAACATCGTGATTGTACCTCTATCCCTGAGAGCTTCTTCAGAAATGCAATGTGTAACTGGTGTAATGCGGGCCTATCATTCCATGATGCTGACGATGTAACTCAATCAACCATGGATACAGTGATCTAAATCTGAAGCCCAGTCCGTACTTTCGGGAGACAAGTTGTCACTCACAGTATCATCTCAGAGCTACCATAGACTGTTCTATAATCTCAATTCAGTTTACAGTTCTCGTACTCCCGCCGATCGACGCCTACGACTAATCAATGCCCCCTGGAAGAATCGATACATCTTATACAAGGTTTGACGGTCTATCACATTACCTACCACCCTACATGCCCTTCAAGGTTGACACATACCCAAGGCTTCATCAGCGTCTTAGCCAGAGCTCTCAACGGAAAGACGCAAAATATGACAATGGAATACCAGTAAGAACTCTGCCTCATCGAGAAGGAAGAACTCGTGTATCCTTCTGGCGGTCTCTACAACGCCACGAGGGATGTCTTAACAGTCAACCTTACTCTCATGTAGAGGCGAATCCTCAGCACTGACAGTGGCGTGAGTTTGTATATGCACACGGAGAGCAGTGGTCATATTGCTCAGGTTCTAGGAGATATTGCCTCATTTGCTAATCCGCGGCCGACAACCCCAGGCTTCATCCAGTATAGCAATTCTCGAACCTTTTTCCGGCCTCACATGTGCCATAGGCAATTTGAGCCCCTGCGAGAAGGAACCATATGTTGTCCGAGAGCTTACTACGGAGAAACATGTGGATATGATTTCAAGGCGTATACAATTCGTCACCACTGATGAGAGTGGTTCCCCCGTCGAAAGAGTGAAATATTTGTGATAGTATGGGTGGATTCAAAAGCGTAGGGGAAACAGTTCTCATCATCAGTGGTGCATCTCCGTCGCATTCGACATCGGAAGGTGACAGTATAGAGCAAATTGGCTTCCACTAACCACGGTTTCAAGGACATTAGAAATACATAGTCTGATATGACTGCTCGACTCGCCATTATGATGAAGATATGTGATCTCGAGCCTTATGCTTACGGATTTATCTTCGTATCCTCTTGAACATCTAAAGATACATTGAATGCTATATATGGCTGCAGTACTTCTGTGGACTCGTCGAGATTTCATGATTCAAAAATTGCTATAGCGCCTAGAGACTGGAACAATCAAGAAGTGCGGCTTGCTTCAGCTTGCATGGACTTGTTGTGATACTCCAAGTCAACGGGATTCAGCCGGAGCTAACGTACTCAGTACAATGCCGCCGACAATACGAAGCCCGCCGGGACAACGAGAGAATCTCAAGGTCAACTAGGGACGTATAGTATAATTACAGACTTCCTGGAGACTACTCATATCGTGAAACGCCTGATCAACGCAGAACCTGAAATGCAAAACAGCTGAGGAAGAGAAGAAGCGATCTTGAGGGCCTGAAAATATAAGTATGAATTCCATGGTTATAAGCCATCAAAAAAACAGACTTGTCTCCTATTCAGACCTCAAGAATCAAGGTAGGTTCTGCAAGCTAGTGGGGCCACAAATCGGCAGGCTGTTGTCGACTGTTGCTGATAAAGTGCTCGGGCCAGAGCAAAATCCTTCGGTCGATTTCCAACCCCCTCCCCACACCACTTCAATTCCTCCCGTTCTGTAACTACTCATCCTGAGTGTCTTATGAGGGATTTTGACCTCAGACATGCGTCAAAGAGCGCGAGCGAGAGAGAGAGAGAGAGAGAGAGAGAGAGGAAAGAAAGCGGAGTAAGCATATGAAAATGGCAGCCTGCATCACACGTGGGTTGAGAGCTATACAAGACTGATCGACATTGAATACTCCTGAGCAACCGCAAAATAGATGAAGCTATAGCAGCAGCACTAAACTAGTATGCAGCCAACAACTCCACGCCATTCGCCCGCTGAAATCTATCAGTCGCGGCCGTCAAGGTTTTGATCAAATGAATGCCAGAGATTGTGATGCACGACCCCTGTGACCACGTTCTATAATTGCCATCTTATTTTTCTTACTCGCATCGGTTGCTTTTTTTTACCCTTTCTGCCATGCGCCTTGAATCAGTCCATCAGCTGCACAGCCATCGTTTTCTACCTCGATAGCTGCATCATACATCGCACTTTCCGCGCTGTACCGTCGTGGTTACTTCGTTGACCGCCGGTTTTTACACCAAATATCGCCTCCCTTGCGTATTGCTCCTCGCGCTCGTTTTGATTCAAGGAGCACCCAAGACCACACCGATGACAGCTTCTGTCGGTGCTGCCTTGACCCCCACAGAAGCTGTAGGCTGGGGATCACCTGCGATGTCTACCCCTCAACTTCAGGAACTGTCTGTAGCATCGCAGGAGCGACAAATACCGCTACAGCTCGCCAGTTCACTATGGAAATTCTCCGCGGCATTTTCGTCGCAAGTGCTCCTTGTGGGGTGTGTTTTGGTCCATCGCAAATAACGCATAGAACAAGGTGCTGATAAGTCTATTCGTGAAGGTTTCTAGTTCTTCCTCTAGCATTCGGGGATGACGAGGCCGAGTCCCCTGCGAATAAGTCACCCACGACGATCGCAGCTTTCATTCTCATCGCCATTGCATACTCTTTGTCGCTCGCAGTCGTCTGCTTTCAGTCTCAGGACCGCAATTTCCTGCTTTATTCTTTGTTTCTGTACGTGCTCCTTGACGAGCTTCCGTTCCATCCAGCTAATGCTTCTTCAGACCTTGCCTGGGTTCAAACCTCCTCGCTCTCCTAAACGTCCTGCTCAATGTCATTTGTCGAAACCTGCTTCCTCTGGGCAGCCTGGAAATTGTCAGCCTGGGCCTTCCCAGCGCCTTCGCCTTTCTTTCTGGCCTTGGAGCTTTATGGGCCTATGCGTGGGACATCCCCGGCTTATCTCGAGCGGGTGATCGTCATCGCCCGCACTTGACTGATGAAGAGATGCAGCGCCAGCAATTGCAGCGACTGCTAGAACCAGAGTCCTCTCAGAAGAAGCGAAGCTCCAAGGTGTACCCGAAGACCTTCCAAGTCAACGCTCCCGAGCTGGTTAACCCGGGGAAGGGCTGGGATACCTTCATACCTCCTCCTCGGGAGGAGAATTATTTTCGATGAGATGCCCTCGGATTCCCTAAGGATGTTCGATATGTGTTTGATGTGGTTACGGTTGCACAAAACAGCAACACTTACGATCTCGCCGATGCATCTGAAAGCTCACTGGTGTCGTAGCCAATTATATCAATACTTGTAGTACCTTCTCCATTTTTCAATCCAGCCTAGTCGTCGCTTGTTGGCACCATCTGAAACATAACGAAGCTAGAGGACATAGCTGTGGCACTGGGCCACCGGCTCACAGAGCCAGCTGTGTCTTCGAATCTACTTCGCTTACCATTTCATTCTTCTGGGTCTACTTTCAGCGTGGCCTTGGAATAGAAGCCATGCTGATGTAGGGAATGGGTTGGGATAGGTGCCTGATCTTGTAGAGTCTGAAAATATATCAGTCATGAGTGCCACTCAAGGTAGACAGAAAGTGCATTGAAATATCATACTTAGAACAATCGGCCTTTCACGCCTCTGGCAGACATACCCACCACAGAATGGGGCATGTGTAAGCACAGCATCTATAATCATTACAGAGCCGCTGTGCAACAGCTGTCATCTGACACGCTAGCGGTCGCACTTCGAAGTCATGCCGAGGCTGACACTGAAAGTTCGTCTCGACACCACCATTATACCAACTTAATGTGCATTAACCATGACTTAAAGAACGACTCGATTCATGAAGATCAGTTCATTCCCGATCCACAAAAATGGAACCTCGGCAATTACCCGATTGGGACAGACCGCGCGGAACAGCAGGGCGGGACTTGGAAAGTGAAGACTCCAACTTCCCCTCCAAAGATTGTCTTGACTCCTGAACCCTGACCCTTTTTCCGACTTGGGCTTCGAGTTAAAAGAGCATCCTTCTTACCTCAGCGCCTTACAACCGTCCAATACTACTTTCTGTGCTTGGTAGGGACTGTGTGTGCCCACCATGGCCAAATCCGTAACCCTGTTCGAACCCC